AAACTGAATTGATTTGTTTTTAATTATTGATTAATATTATTAATAAAGATATTGTAAGAAACAGGAAAATTATCATGTAAGATTTTAAAAGTCAATAAGAATCTAAATTTATGTCATTTTAGACCTTCGAATAAAACCCTCAAATAAAGTAACTCTTCTTTTTACTCAACACTCACCACAACTATCAGTTTGCCCATTATTTTGAGTAACAATACATTGGTCTCCTAATTATCACTTTCTTAATACACCACTTCAGTGTTTACACTAATTTCTTAAAAACACTTTCAAATAAGGTTTTTACAACAATACATTAAATTTTACATATTTTATACAAAAACGTATATATAAAATATTTATAAAAAAAAATTATATTAATTCAAAAAGTTTCATTTCAATATTCTAAAGTTAGAGTAATTGTAGTAATAATTTATTGTGTTAAAATTTTGTATTATATTTGATTTTGTGTTTCTAAAAATTCCGTAAATAATAAATAACTGTTCGAAACCCTCACTGGATGTAAATTCTCTATATATGTCGTATTATTAAAATTGTGTGTATGTGTGTGTGCGACTAGAGTCAAGGCTGGAGTGCTGGTTCTTTAGTAGGTCTTAACAGTACTTTAGTGAATATTGTAAAAAGATAGTTATTCTGGTAGCTGACGAGGAATCATTTTTTGTCCACTCATTTAACATAATTCAAAAAATACAATCACTAAAAATTCTAATTATTTGTTACTTACATTAGCTATAATTTTTATGTTAACAAATACAAATTTGTCAAAAATTAAAAAAAAACACACACACATTTTGACATAATAATTTTTCTTTTAAAGTAGTAATTAAAAAGTATATCTAAATCTGTTTAACTGAATAATTCAATAAAAATACGAGACTTAAAACATTTACTAAACTGTTGCTTATTATTCCCAGGGTCGAACAACTTCAATGCAAACAATTACGCAACCTAAAAATTTCTCTGAAGCACTTATATAAGTAACATTAACCTTATATATTCCGTAAAAAAAAACTTTAGGAAGATATCCAAAATTTGTTAATGAATTCATGTTAAATCCAGATGATACATATACACCCTGAAAATATTTATAATAATTAGTAACTTAGCTCATTCACTTTGAATAATTTCATTCAATATGACAGGTGAAATAACTTTTTATAAACTAATTTCTTTTGTTAAATTTTTTCAATAAAATTCTTTTTTTTCGAAATAAGTTTCATACAATCATATATTGTATCAATTTTGTTTATAAAAGTAGAATACAAGTGTATATTGTTTTAAAATTTTTCAATATTTTAAGATTTTTTATTGTTATTATTTTAATACTAAATAATATAATATAATAAGTTTCCTATGAATGTTATACCATTAAAATAATTTATACTTTATCTTCTTCCTCGCCTTAATCCCAATTACTTTGGGTCGGCCACCCTTATCCTAAACTTCCACTTGACACGATATCCCACATCTTCTACGCTCACATCAGCTGTCCTCATATCGCATTCAACAACATCTCTCCATCTCTTTTTTGGTCTTCCTCTACCTCTTCTTCCTTCAACATTCATTTCTACAACTGTTCTTACGGCTTCCGATTCTTCTCTCCTTATAACATGACCAAACCATCTAAGTCTAATTTCTCTCATTTATCCACGATTGACGCTACACCTATTCTTCCTCTTATATGCTCATTTCTTATCCTATCTTTTCTAGTCACTCCACTCATCCATCTGAGCATTCTCATCTCTGATACACTCATTCTCTGCTCTACTTTCTTATCAACCGTCCAACACTCTGAACCATATATCATAGCTAGTCTCACTACAGTCTTGTAGAATTGACCTTACACCCTAATTGAAATTCTTTTATCGCATAAGACACCAAACGCTTCTCTCCACTTCAACCACCCGCACTTAAACCTCATACTTACATCCTCTTTTGCACAACTGATCCTAAATACTCAAAACTTTTCACCTCTCCAATCACGTCCTCGCCTATTGTCACTGATCTCCTTATTTCACCTACCTCGTGTTTTTCTTTGTCAAACTCGTACTCTATATACTCTGTCTTACTTCTACTTATTCTTAAATCCTTTTCTTCAAGAGGCAATCTCTACACCTCTAGCTTTTGATTAATTTCCTCCCTATTTTCTCCTATTAACACTATATCGTTAGCAAACAACATGCACCACGGTACCTATTTTTCACATCATCATCAATCGAGAATACCCTATTATCAGCACTTTTTATACACCTTATATAATGATAATCTTTAGTCATTTTCTCTCTTTCTTTTGCAAGTCTATAGATTTCTTTCTCGCCTTCCTTTGTTCCTAGCCTATCATACAAGGCATCATACCTCTTTAACTTCGCCTTACTTACTACATGCTTGACTTCTTTGCACAAGCGTTTATACTCCATCCAATATTCTCTCCTTTGGTTCTTCTGTCGTACTTTGAATTGCTTTTTCTTACTTTCTATGATTTTTTGAACGTCCACATCCCACCACCAGGTTCCTTATTCCCTGGCATTCTACTTCTACTCTCACCAACAATCTCGTTTGCAATATTTTTAATACAACTACATTTATGTCATCTTCGACATTCCATACTTTCCTCTCTTTTGCCGTCTTTACAAACTCTTTTTTTATTTTCCCCTTTCAATTTCCACCAACGGATTTTCAATTTTTCTCCCGTGTTCTTTCTGTTTTTGCATATTCTTTTCCCGGTACACCAAAATTCCATTACCATCAGTCTACGCTGTGTAGTTACACTCTCGCCTGGTATAACTTTACAATCTTTTACTTGCTTTACACTCTCTCTCTACCACGTAAAATAATCAATTTGTGATCTATTCCTCCCACTCTTATAAGTTATATAATGTTCTACCCTCTTTCTAAAATAAGTATTAACCACAGCAAGATCATACAATACTGCGAAATCCAGGATTCTTTCTCCAGCCTCATTCTTCCCACTAAAACCATACCCTCCATGTACTCTTTCATATCCTTTCTTCTCATTACCAACGTGTCCATTCATATCTCCACCTATCACAGCATCCTCATTGCCAGGTACCCCTTGCATCACCTCATCCAACTCTCTCCAAAACACTTTCTTGTCTATTTCATCACATCCTACTTGTGATACATAGACACTTAATATATTCAAATTTTTTTCTTATTATTTCAACTATTTTATTTTTATTATTGTCATTCATTATTATTTCCACATCATTTTTTGTATTTGTTTTACCCGAGTATATTATTTTATACCCCTCACCTATTTCCCTTGATTTCTCTCCTTTCCACTTAGTTTCCTGCACACAACAAATGTTTACTTTTCTCCTCTTCAATACTTCTACTAATTCTCTACTCCTACCAGTTAATGTTCAACATTTCAAGAACCTATTCTTACTTTGTATCTATTTTTTTCCTCCCTCATACATGAGTCCAGCCTAGAGTTAAGTGGTGATGCCCCTACACCGTTGACACTACAAGCGTTGGTTAGACCTATACACATGACTGGTGAAACAGCTACCGCACAAGTTGTCCGACTGGTATCAAACACTTTATTCCTTAGGCCTTCTTCGTTTTTAACTACATTCTGTTGTCCTCACATACATCCTAGATGGAACAATCTGCCTAAGTTTTGTTCAGGATTCCTCTTACTTTTTTGACAATAATTTTTAACCAACCCAACCGGCTCTTGACCTGACGTAACCTCATTAGTCGCCTTTTACGACTGTACGCAATAATAAGAACTCTGCTATATTGAGCATCACTCTCACCTATAACTAAAAATAATTTTGAAATTAAAAAATGATGTAACAAAAAAGAAAATCCACCAGTCAAAATTTCATTTAATCCATTCCCCATTTTATGGCAAATAAATAATAAGAATTTTCCATTAAACTTTCAAAATTTACTCCTAGAATCGTTAGAAATAATTTTTAACGACAAAATTGATTTTTGCTATGGTTCATAAAGATATATCAAATACACAAATCATTAAAATTAAAATGTGATGTATTATTTTCAAAGCACATTGTATTTGAAGCTATCAGGTAAATTTTAGAAAAATTTTACTCTGTTTGCAGGTAAAGTTTCAGTTAAAAAAAAAAATCACTGCGTAGGGTGAATGGATTATTATAAACCACAGGATTAATGAAAAAATAAATACTATACTGGAAAAATAATTATGATATCTTTTAGTTCCATATATTTCTTGATTAGTCAGCTAATAATTATTTTTTAGAATCATCCCTTAAATAACAACATACATATTTACCTAGCTTAGAAAATAGACAATAATCTAATTAAGAAAATGTCTGTCCGATAACATTTATTGGACCAGTACTTTGTTATTTATTCTCATTTTTATACCTAGGCGGCACGAAAATACGGTCGGAAAATGACTAGTGATAAAAATAGTAGCATCCACTCCCCATTTTCAGTCATTACTTAAAATTGTCAATAACATCCAAAATACTGGTCTAAAAGATTTAATGGACCAGTTATTTCTTAATGAGTTTATTCCCTATTTTATAGACTAGTTAACTATGTTTGTTACCATTAAAAAAATAAATTTGATACCCTTATAAGTAATAAGGGATAATCATAAGAAGTATATAAAGAGTGACCAGTAATTAAGGAAACAGATTTCAAATAATCTTAATTATGATGCTTTTCATTCATATTTACGAAAAATAAAGAAATTTATCTTAAAATTCTAGCTTAATTACTTCTACTAGATAAAATATCTTATCATTTATGATTTTTAAAATTTGTGATTTAATTAATAAAAATTAATTTTTGGATATAAGAACGTGTAGTAATGGACAAAAACATTATAGTACATAATATTAATACCTCCTAATTTCTTATAAAAGCTTAAACAAAACATTCGAATTGATTAATGTGAAAATCAAAAGTTATTTCGTATGTCAAAACATGTTAGATCACGTTAGAAAATTATTATTCACTTAACCCACAGGACTAATTGGACATCCAGGTTTAGGTATATTAAAAGCTGTAAGAAACTCTTCCCAAGCATTTTTCCCATTTATCATTTTTGTTGTATCGCAAGCTTTTTTGAATGGTACTATATGAGCATTACTAATCCAGGCATTGTTTGTACCTTTTACAGCAAAGTTTATTGTGAACTAAAATAAGTATTATAAAAATTTTACATTACTTTAATAATATTAAAAAATTGTTATATCGTTCTAATATTACAACAGTTAATTTGTTTACAATTAAATATAAGCACAATTGGAATAAAATGTATTATAAAATAATTTTGAAACATGTCATTTTCATTACTTTGAGGAATTTTAACTAAGTCCGCCTAGATACTCCAACTTGGGCCTATGAATTTAAATGCAAACTTAATTGATTTAAATTATAATTAAATAATTTTAATTATTAAGAAATAATTAATGATCACGAAAAAAAAACTTGAAAGTATCTCTATTAAACATTTTAAAAAATTTTAACAACATAATATTTTTTTAAATACTGTAGTAATAAATTTTCATAAAATTATTATATTTTTAAATTTCAAGTTGTTTTTGAGTTCTCATTCTTTGTTTAACACATAGATAAATTATGATTTTTTTTAAATAAAAATTTAGGTTCAAGTTTCTTTTTAAAACTTAAACAATTTTTGGTAATTTAAAAAAACCTTAAAATTTTATATACAAAACTAACATTTTTTATTTTTATGATTTTACTTTCTTTCCAATTTATTAAATATAATAAAATAGCAGTATTTCATACAATTTCCACTTTTTAAAAAAAATTTAAGTATCTTAAAATATTATCTAATAGTTTATTTTTCTAATATTTATTTTTATATTCCCAAAACTCATTAATGTTTAGAAACAGTTTGGAAAAATATAGATTTTTTTTAATTTTTTTTTTTTTTTTGACGTTTTTCAATAACAAAAGATGCAAAATATCAAGTTCTTTTATTTTTGAAAAGAACACTTGAAGAATATTATATAAAACTTATTTATATATTATATATATATATATATTAATCAACTAATAAATTTTAAATATTAATATTGTATAATGTTAAATTTGTTTTTTTAAAGTTGTAGTATTAAAATGTATATAATTTTGGCAGTTTAGTGAAGCTTACCATAATTGAGTTATCAAATGGAACCAAATATGTCAAGTTTCCTTTGAGATCTGTGATTGTCGGAGTCCTTTTACTAAAAAATACATTCCATTGAAGCAAATTTTTTTCCGATGAACCACAAGAATATATAGAGTTATATTTCATTTTAAATTCTCCCTACAACAATATTGTTTTTAAAATAAAACATCTACTGAATCACAATTTGTAACTGTTATAAATTAATAATTACTGCTGGTAAATTAGGACGATATACAGGTTGTAATTCTTTTGCAATTATAATATTTATAACAAAATATGACCAAGAGAAAACGAATATATACATAATTAAAATATTAACTTAATGAAAATATAACAATTTTTTTTAATCAATTATACATAAAAAATTTTATGAAGTACAAAGTGAATGACAAAATACGTAGTTAATAACATATATTTCCATATATAAATGTCAAATTGTAATATTTTTATAATACAATTTGTTTTATTTTTAAATCATTAGTATAATTAAAAAAAAAAAAAAAGAATTTTACAACTAATAATAATAAACATACACAAAAGGATTTAATGGTCCAATTATCTGCACAACGTTTACATATAAACATTTGTACATACAAAAATTGAACTAATAATTTTTTTTAATAATAAATATAATTTTTGTTAAGTAAAAAAATGTCATCTAATCTATAAATAAAATCACTGAATTTTAACATAAAATATTTTTATTCATTTTTATAAAACGCATATTTTTAGCTTTGATGCGTAACTAACAAGCTATTGGGTTTGTTCAGTTTCAGAAGAGTTCTGCGCTGGAAACTGAAATTAAAGGCAATATAATTTATTTAATACCTTTTGACTTTTAAACTGTAACTATTTAAGCACTCTTTTCATGATTAACTTAAAAAGTAATGTGCAGTCGGGATTCAGTTAAATGATATTGAAGCATTCTTTCAATTAGTGTTGATTGATATTTGGGAGTTATTAATATCACTGTAATAAAATGCTTTTCAGCTTATTTGAAACAAATTAATTATATATTTAGTATATCTGCTAGACGCCAATTACTCATTGTACATTTTTATTTCATTTACTCAAGAACATTTGAAGAATTAAAAATCTATAAAAATAAATGTATATATCTGAGGTAAGAATGTAAATTTTTTTAAAATTACAATTTTAGTCAGTTTAGAAGATAATTCCATTGTTAGTTGAAACTATCAGCACTATAATTTTTATAACCTTTAATCATTGTTACAAATTAAAATGGTCTTTAATATGTCACATTGTCGTTCATTCATATGTAACTGTTGGCGATAATTTACTAATATTGAAGCAGTTGACTGTTGAACAATAAGAATAGAAATTGTTTTAATTTGTGTTCACTGTTAATTTATATCTAAAGTATATTATAAATAAAAATACTTCTTAAATTTTTAATAAATAAGATTATATATATTATTTTACTGCTGGTAATTTTGGATGGATTATTGACTTCAATTTATAATGCTTCTGTAATGGTTGGAGGTGAAATGCAGGTGTTGTTATTTTTCCCGACAATACTCTACCTTTCTCTATAGCATAAAAAGTTCAACTATTTCAGATATACTTGCCCAAAAGTTGTTACCAACTAGTTATTTTGTTGATTAAAATCTAATCATTAGATTATTATTTATGAAATAAGAAAATTGATTATTTATATTGTTATTTAAAAAAATAAAATTAACACCCTTATATATAATCGAAACTAAAAAAAGTTTTATATAATAAATTCCATAAAAATATTTATTTTTTGATTAATAAAATGGTTCTTGATCTATGAATTTTGATCCTTCTGTTTGTGATCCTTCATATTATGTTACCGGGAAAAATTTTTTTTTTATTTTATAATGCATTTCAAATATATTTAATTTGATGTATTTTTGAAGAACGCAGTCGTTTCAGAAATTAAAAAAAAAAAAAATTTAAACATAGGTGTATAATGTTTTTCCAACCTTTCTTGTACTTAAGTTTTTAATTGGATTCTCATTAAAGAATACCTGATTAATACTACTATATTAAAATTTCTTTAGGATCAATAATTTAAAAAGAAGTTATAGCAGTTTTAAAATGAAGAAAATATTTTTTGAATACGCCTGTTTTTACAATAGTTTAGTTTTTAGATATTAGTATGCATTCATAAATTAAGAGTTTTTTTTTTCAATTTATGGATAATAAAAAAGTTTATCTGGATTAATTTAGGTTCATTTGACGTGATATTTATTAAAATCACTCCAGTGAGAGATGACAAATTTTATGGACAGACCTAAAAAAATTCCCCAAAATCACCTTCTTAGGTTCGCGTCGAAATTAAAAATCTACTTTATTAAGCATTTTATATTATATCAGTTAGATTCTTATAATTTTTTTTAAATCAGTAACGACGCTACTACGGCCTTCCCTTGTAAGGTGTTTTAAAATAAAAATGAAAATAGTTATACTGAATTAATACAAAAAGAGCTAGGTAGTATTAAGAAATAAGGTAAAATGGGTAAGAAGTACAATTAGAATGATATGGATGAATCCAAAGCAACTCAATCAATTTAATCTATCCTTTTACCCTCTTCATTATTTATTTTTATCACAAGGTTTTAAGTCAAAATAAATAATTTCAAAAAAAAATTAGAGGAGATTGGTCTCCTAACCATCTTTTTCTTAATACACCAATGCAGTGTTTACACTAATTTCTTAAAAACACTTTCAAATAAGTATTTTACAAAAATACATTAAATTTTACATTTTTATTCAAAAACGTATATATAAAATATTTATAAAAAAAAAATTATATTGATTCAAAAAGTTTCATTTCAATTTTTAAAAAATTATAGCAATTGTAGTAAATAGCTGACAACGTATTAAATTAACTTGCATAATATTATAGTATAAGGTTTCTATCACTGTAATAAGCAATTTTAAATTCTTAAGTAAAATAATATCTCATAAAGAGAGAATGCAGGTAAGCAAATCAACAATGATGGGAACAAGAATAAAGGGAACAAAAAAAGTAGTAAGGATGAACGTTTTAATAAGGAACGTCTTGTTTACGGCTAAAAGGTTGTAGAGCGTGAAACTTTGTAATTCGAACAGGATTAATTATTCATTGTGTTAAATTTTTGTATTATATTTGATTTTGTGTTTCTTAAATTCCGTAAATAAAAAATAAATATTCGAAAACTGCACTTGGTGTAAATTCTTTATATCTGCCGTGTTGTTAAAATTGTGTGTGTGTGTGCGGCTAGAGTCAAGGTTGGACTGCTGGTTCTTTAGTAGGTCTTAACAGTTCTTTAGTGGGAGCTTGACATCTTATTTTAAAATAATAATCATGTTATGTTCACTTTAATACAATAAACTAAAAATCACTAAAAGCTCTGACGACAACATCTCGAGAGGGAGGTGGTAATCAAAAATGAGATAAAATAGCTTAATTCTGCTTCACATATGGACGAACACGTTCGGATTCAATCTAGAATACGGTTTCAGTTTTGCTCGAATCCTCTTATCTACACCAAAAATTGTTAGCAACGACCCCGTGTTGTCGTCAGCACATAATAATGCGACATTTATTTACACTTATGTGTTAAAAACTTATTTATTTATCTCTCAAAAATTATATAAGTATATAAGAAATTGATTGAAAAAGACGCTATTCACTTTTGTACGACGCAGAATATTATAAATCTAAGTAAATAACGATAAAGCAATAGATCATTATATTTATATCCACCAATTTTAAGTAAATTACCTTGACTGGGTATCGATCATGAGGCCTCAGGTCACTGCAAGAATACCTCAGCTTCCTAAAATAATCATCAATAATTAACCTATGCTGAAAATTCGACCGATAGAAACTTGATGGTCAGAAATTTGTACAAAATCCAAAACACACCATACCTTGATCAATTACACCCATATATTCACTCATTTTTAGCTTCGATGCGAAGCTGATAAGGTATTGGTTTTACTATGATGTATTTTTATTTTTTTTTTCTTTGTGTCTGTTACCACTTTTTCTCAGCTCTCACCGAACTGATTTCTTTCAATGATACGTAAAAAGATCACAAATCGTATCTAGTCGAAGAAATTACCCTCAAAAATTGAAAACATTTCTCTTGTTTCCCGTAAACGGGGGAAATCTCCAAAAAAAATACAAATTATACTAATTATTTATAAATTCATAAATAATTGAATGTATTCAAAACTACAAATCTGGGTTTCGTATTAAATTTTAAAAACAATTTAATCTTATTATATTATTTTAGTTTTTTTATTTGATTCATCAATATTTTTATAATAGTTATTAGTAGTAAATTTAATAGATAATATTTTATCAATATTACGATCATATATGATTTTTGTCCACTCATTTAACATAATTCAAAAAATACAATCACTGAAAATTCTAATTATTTGTTACTTACATTAGCTATAATTTTTATGTTAACAAATACAAATTTGTCAAAAATTAAAAAAAACACACACATTTTGACATAATAGTTATTGTACTCAAATTTCTCTTTTAGAGTAGTAATTAAAAAGTATATCTAAATCTGTTTAACTGAATAATTCAATAAAAATACGAGACTTAAAACATTTACTAAACTGTTGCTTATTATTCCCAGGGTCGAACAACATCAAGGCAAAGAATTATACAACCTAAAAATGTATCTGAAGCACTTATAAAAGTAATATTAAGCTTATATATTCCATAAAAAAACGCTTTAGGAAGATATCGAAGATTTGTTAATGAATTCATGTTAAATCCAGATGATTCATATACACCCTGAAAAATATTTTTAATAATAAGTAACTTAGCTTATTCACTATGAATAATTTAACTCAATATGACACGCACGAAATAACTTTTTATTAAGTAATTTGTTTTGTTAATCTTTTTTAAATAGAATTCTTTTTTTTTTTAAGATAATTTTCATACAATCAAATATTTCTTCTTATTTAATTTTATTATTTTAATACTAAAGAATATAATATAATAAGTTTCCTATAAATGTTGTACCACTAAAACAATTTAATACTTTATAAAGATCAAATTCTGCTAGTCTTAGTAGTCTTTGTGCATGAACTGATTATTAATAAAAAATGACAGAAAATCTCTGTAATTTTTTTTATCTTATTATTTAAAATTTTTCGCAAATAAAAATATTATTTAAACTCTTATTTTAATTCAGTCGTAACGTCTAAATGGCATTTTAAAGTTTATTAATATTTTTTTTTTTACAATTTTCCTATGGTATCAAATGTTACTCCAATTTATGTTAAGTATGGAAGTAAACAGTTAATACATTATTTACTGGTAACAGTACATGATTTATATTCCATGAAAATTGAGTTTATTAAAAAGATATTATAAAAAAGTTATCTAAAACATGATTTTAATTGGTTCATGTTTCATAAATTTAAACATGAGTAATAGTGAATAAGTGCATTTGTTATCAAATATCCTAACAAGAAATATCTTATAATAATATGATATCAATAATAGAATCACTCAAATTAATAATTGTTATCACTTTTAACTTGGCTATACATCGATCACTTGTAGTTAACATACGATAATGTTTCTAACTTTTGTAATAAAGATTAGACATAATCATTTCTGTGGCAATGGAAATTATTTATGGAAAAGAAATCGAGTATTGTTACCAGTAAATAACATAATTAGACAGTGTTTACTCTGTACTTTACATAATATAGACTAACATTTGATACGATAAGAAAATTGTAAAAAAATCAAAATTTAACAAACTTTAAAATGCCGTATAGACATAACTACTGAGTTTCAAAAAGAGTTTTTGGTATAAAAATTTTTCTTTAAAACTTATCTATAAAATTGCTATCTTCAAATCTTAAAAAAAGTTTAAAAAATATTTTTTGTAATTTCGATAAATAACATAAGACATATGTTAAATATAGTTCTATAATAAATTGATTAAAAAAAAAGTAATGTAGATTATAAGTTATATGAGTTGTCAGTTAGATCTGTTCCATCTGTATATTTTAAAAATATTTTACCTGATTGCAGGTAAAGTTTCAGATTAAAAAAAATATCACTGCATAGGGTGAATGGATTATTATGAAAAAATAAATACAATACTGGAAAAATAATTATGATATCTTTTAGTTCCATGTATTTCTTGATTAGTCAGCTAATATTTAAGTTATTAAAAAAAAGTTATTATCGACCAGTAATTTCTTAATTAGATTATTTCCTTTTTTATAAGCTAATTAAATATGTTTGTTGAAATTAAAAAAATAAAATTGATACCCATATAAGTAATAAGGGATGATCATAAGAAGTATTTATTAGCTGATAAATCAAGAAATATATAGAATTAAAAAAAATGAAAATTTTTTTTTAGTATTGTGTTTATTTTATCATTAATCGAGTGATTTTTAATAAACCAATCATGGTGATCGGTTTATCAAAAATGTATATACAGAGTATTCAGTAATTAAGGAAACAGATTTCAAATAATATTAATTATGATGCTTTTCATTGATATCTACGAGAAATAAAGAAATTTATCTCAAAATTTTAGGTTAATAACTTCTACTAAATAGAATTTGTTATAATACATGATTTTTCAAATTTATGAATTAATTAATAAAAATTAAAATAAAAAAATTTATAAAAGTTAATTTTTGGATATGAGAACGTGTAGTAATGGACAAAAACATTATAGTACATAATATTAATACCTCCTAATTTCTTATAAAAGCTTAAACAAAAAATGTTTAACTTTCGAATTGATTAATGTGAAAATCAAAAGTTATTTCGTATGTCAAAACATGTTAGATCACGTTAGAAAATTATTATTCACTTAACCCACAGGACTAATTGGACATCCAGGTTTAGGTATTTTAAAAGCTGTAAGAAACTCTCCCCAGGCATTTGCTCCATATACCAATTTTGATGTTTCACAAGCTTTTTTGAATGGTACTATGTGAGCATTACTAATCCAGGCATTGTTTGTACCTTTTACAGCAAAGTTTATTGTGAACTAAAATAAGTATTATAAAAATTTTACATTACTTTAATAATATTAAAAAATTGTTATATCGTTCTAATATTACAACAGTTAATTTGTTTACAATGAAATACAAGCACAATTTGAAAAATATGTATTATAAAATAATTAAGAAATAATTAATGATCACGAAAAAAAAACTTGAAAATATCTCTATTAAACATTTTCAAAATTTTTAACAGCATAATTTTTTTTTAAATTCTGTAGTAATACATTTTCATACAATTATCATATTTTTAAATTTCAAGTTTTTTATAAGTTCTTATTCTATGTTTAAAACATACTTTTTGTTCTGTCACTAATTTTATTTTTATTATTTTTTTATATCAAAATAGATATTTTCTATATTTATATAATTATTTGGACACCACTGGCACTTCAAGCATCCTAAAATATTATCATTGATAAGTTGCGATCTTGCATTAATTTTTTTGAGAACTTATGTTAAAATTAAAGCAACGTATAATATAAATATTTTTAATGAGTTAATAAAATAAAAATAGATTAAAGTTTCAGATTTAACTATTATAAAAAAATTCTCAAAACGAGAAAAAAAATACTGTACAATAGACTTAAGATATACAACAAATCTATCTATTAGTTATTTTGTGTTGTTATGAATAATTATTTTAATACGGCTTAATTGCTATAAGTATATATTTTTAATAAATTTTATTGAAAAAGTAAATTTGTTGTTTAACATAATATATAATGTATATTTAAAGTAATAAGAGTAAAAAAATTATGCTTTTCTAAAAATAAAAATTAAGGTTCAAGTTTCTTTTTAAAACTTAAAAAGCTTTTAGTAATTAAAAAAAAACTTCAAATTGTACATTCAAAAACAAAGAATTTTTATTTTTATGTTTTTTTTTCTATTTTTCAATATTTTTAACTTAACAATATTGGATACACAACGGTTGAATGTTCTGACAAGAAATTGTATTGCGATTATTTATGCTATCGTTGTGCTACATCGAGTTGTTGTCGGTCGTCTCTGTATGTCTTTACAGTCGCCACCATCTTAGCGAATTTTAGCTATAAACTCTATAGTGCTTGCAAGTCAGTAGTTTTGTATTATTTTTATTTTAATATTAAAATATCACCTTTGCGATTTTCGCACCCTTGTGCGCTCAATATATCGCTGTTGGATCTATATATTTTCTGAGATACATCACAGTACCGTTTTACAGCAAATTCTACACGTCGGTCAGCTACTTGCATTTGACTTCAATTGATCCTTTCAGTATTCAACATTATCATCGGCCGTTTCAATTAGCCGGTAAGTACAATGCTTGTTCATCTTACAATTACAAAGACTTACTTACATTTATAATTTATAATTTGACTATGTCAACGTCCTTATAGCATTAATATTAAGTTCCGACATTAGTATACAGAAGATTCTATGATACTAGTAAAATACATTTAATTGTTATATGTTTTAAAAAGTCATCCTTAATTTATTCATACAGTCCACTCACTAACGAATTCATGTGAGTACATTTTATTTAAATAAAATAACAGTATTTCAGCCAATTTTCTCTTTTAAAAAAAAAAAAAAAAAATTAAAATTACGTATCTTAAAATATTATCTAATAATTGTTCAGTCATTTTCTTGTTTAGATTATTTTCTATTTTATAATCTATTTAAATATGCAAGTTTCAAATAAAAAAATAATTGTCCAAATTTACAATAAACGTATAACACAATATAGTAAATATCATAAAAAAAATACTTTAGTTTGCTGATTATTATTCAGATTCAAACACGCGAATTGAGTCTTTAGGATAAAATAATGCCGTTATTGTTATACAATTGTATTTTACAACTTTGAAAAAAATAATATTTCATTTAAAATACTATGTTATATTTGTTTTTTTAGTAGTAGTATTACAAATTTATATAATTTTGGCAATTTAGGAAAGCTTACCATAATTGAATTATCAAAGGGAACCAAATATGTTAAGTTTCCTTTAAGATCTGTGATTATTGGAGTCCTTTTACTAAAAAATACATTCCATTGAAGCAAGTTTTTTTCTGATGAACCACAAGAATATATAGAGTTATATTTTACTTTGAATTCTCCCTACAAAAAAAAAATCTTTTAAAAGGAAACATCTGCTGAATCATAATTTAGAACTATTAAAATGTTAAATTACTGCTGGTAAATTAGGACGAAATACTGATTGTAAATCACTTGCAATTATGAAATTTACAATAAACAGTAAACAAAACGTAACATATTTATACATATTTACAATATAAACTTAATAAGAATCAAAAATTTTTAATTAGTTATATATAACATTACTTAAAACAGAGCTAGGTATATAGTGAAATAAAATATTTCATATTTACTAATATAAACATCAAATTATAAAATATTATTCGTGTTTTTATTTTTTTTCAAAAATCATTACAATGATAATTGAAAAATATATAAGTAAAGAAGTAAATAATAATTTTAATAATTATATATATATATATGAACTAATTCTATAAGATACTTATCTACGCATCTATTCATTACACATATATATAATAATTTGTTAAATTCAAACATATCAGATTGTATTTTTTTTTTAATGAATTTAATAATATTTTGCCTACTAAAATAATGTTATTCAATTTATTTTACTGAATAATAATAATAATATTTTCACTGAAACGAAAAATTTTGTTTGTTATTAATAATAGATTTTCTTTTTAATTTTTGTCGTAAATAAGGAAATTTTTTTACAAATATTTTATTAAAAATATTATTTATTAGTAAAATATCTACAAGATTGTTTAAACTATTAAAGTTTATTATTCAATAGATATGAAATCACTGACATCCAATTTTTGATTTGATGTCTTTTTTTCATTACTATGAGAACCGGATAATACAAAATATAGTAATCTTTAAACAAAATTCCAAGGTCATAAGAATCTAATTAAAATAATTATTGATCGATAACAACTATTGACCAATATTTCAGGAATTAATAACACTATCATACCTATGTGAGGAGAAGTGAAACCAAAAAATGTCTAATGATAAAAATAACAACAGTCACGTCTCACCTCCAGTGCTCACTTTAAATTGTTATTAACTTCTGAAATATCGGTCAAAAATTAACTATCGACTAGTCATTTTTAGCTTCGATGCGAAGCTGAGAAGTTATTGGTTTTACTAAGATGTGTTTTTTTTTTTTTTTTTTTTTT